CACAGCTCCGAATATCCGTGTACGAGGAGATGCTCATCTATATAAGATCGCTCGGGTTTATTCCGTTACACAGAACGCACGCACTATTCACGTTCGACTGAGAGATAGCTACAAATGTATGTTTTTTGTTGGTTGGCATACTGAAATGTGAAAACAGCACACCCTCAACAATTCTTGAGATTTTTTTGTCAGCAACATTTTTTAAAAAGTAGGCAGGCCTATATGTTTTTGAGTAATTTTAGATATATGACTGCAGCTGAAGCAAAAGCATATGCTTGTACTTTGTTTGTGTATTAAAGGCAACATGAGACATAGGCTAACCAAACACAAGAGCGTCACGCACTGTTCTGTGTGTGTGGTTTAACCACACACATGAACTGTTTTTTAATTTAAAAAATGTAATATATTTTTAATAGATATTTAGCTGTTAGATAGCCTATCTAAATGTAGATATTTAGATTTTATGGTTGACTTTTGAGCATTTTTTATTTGAACGATATTTAGCGTTTTTGAAATAAATAGGCTTAAGAAATATTGTTGACAAATATTTAACAACCATTCATCATAAACAAACGATCTACAACTTAAATACACAAATAAAAAAACAACTAAGACAAAAAAAAAAAGGAGCCTAACCGGATGCATTTTTGATCTCACGTTTTTGATACTCTCGCAAAAATGTTTCAGTCAATCTTGTTTGACTATTTCGCCACATGTAAATTTGTATAAACAGGTGCGTTTGCCTGAGTATTTTTTTGAACTTTTTTTTGACGAACAGAAATGCCCCCAAACACTGTATGAAACTTATAGTAAATCGTTGCATGCCATTGTTCCTCTATTGCAATTTTGTAAAGCGAACGGTTTTAAAATAGGCTATTATATCAGCATATTTTTTTACATTTCGTTTTTACACAAAATAACTGGCGCGGGTGGGAGTCTGTTTTTCTCTCGGGTCTCTTAGGGCTTCAGAGCACCTGCCACCCATCAGTTTGGGTATAGGTCTATATTGCATACATATTTTTCACTTAGCCAATAACAGACAATCCCGAAAAACCGCGGTATGGCTATACAGCAATAGCCTACAGAGAGAGAAATTCGGAGATATCTGGGCAGAGGTTTTATTTTACTATTGTTGTTTATGTAACTCAATATATGAGTTGGCTGTATGACAGTTGTGGTTATATTAAAACGATACGTAGCCTAACAGAAGTTTTACTAACCGCTGACAATTTAACTGAAGGCACAAATTGGCTTAAACGTAATTTTAACAAAAAATTAAAACTAATTTAAAACATTTAAAGCCTTCACAAGGCAGCGTTTAACTTAAACAAATGTACCCGTGTTAAAAAGATTTAAACAGGGTTTGCTAAGTCAAAATGATAGCTACTGAACTAATGCAGACATCATGTGGAAACTTATCTTTCTCGGGTTTTCTTAATTTGTCAGTGCTACCAAGTCGAACAATTCTGATAACCTAATCCATATTTTAATAAATAGGCCTATCTATTTTAACCGTAAAATAAGAACAGCTTAAGTATTATAACCATAAAGACAAGATATTGCATATTTTAAAGTTAAAGTAACCTAATACTTTAGATACTATACATGCTGCACTTATAGGTTTGTACATTCGGTTCAGCCGGACATCATCACATCAACTTCATATGATACCCGATGATATAAACGACGCAGTCGCCGGTCAAAACTGATCTTCATGAATATGAGCGATACATGTGCCACGATCCTTTTTGTCTAACACGACAGGTCTGGACTCGGGTGGCCTGTTTTTGTGATAGGCTACTGGAAGGAGACAACATCCCCACAGCTCCTCTGTCGCATGAGAGCACATATCATCAGCACCACAGTGATTTGATCATGCATCTACTCACATGAATCCCGGTCTAGTGGAGGTAATCCTCGAAAAATGTACAACTTTTTGCGTTTACGCGTGTTAGCTGCTTTTCTGAAACGACGCAGTCGTCATGTAGAAAGTTCCTTAGGATGAGCAAACGAAAAGAGACAGTTTCTTTCCCCTTTCTCTCTCTCGGTGTTGTCTGTCATAAGTTTTTAGCGGAGAGTGAAGGCTTGATCTCCATGCAGAGGGGGACTGACTTTATGCTAAATATCTCGTGCGACAGGTCCGCGGCAGAAAGGAATGCCCACCCCTTGACTCTCTCTCTCTCTCTCTCCCACGATCTTTCTCTCTTTCTCACACATGCGCTCGCTAAACATACGCACAGCAAATCAGAGCTTCGGACAATCATCCCGAGCTCACTTGCACAGCTTCTTCAAAACCTTACGATTTAAAACATGAACATTCCCATGAGTTATCGTGCTGCGTGGTAGTGTTATTAGCCGTCTGTTCCTTCATGCTCAGTAAATAGAACGTTCTGTCTTCTCAACATTCTTAAAATAAAGGTTCTTTATTTGCATCTATGATTATATGGAACCTTTGAATGTTCTTTATGGGAAAAGGGCTTCTTCAGATCATTACAGTGTGCTTCACACTAAGAAAAATGGTTCTTTTATTAAGAACTGTTTACTTCTGCGAAACCTATCTTTTGGAACCTTTATTTTAGACTGAATAGTTCATACCAAAATGGCTATTCAAACATTTAAATATAGAATATTGTAAAAAAAAAAACAACAACAACAACATCTAAGCTAATTAGGCTAGTTATGTAGTTATAATTAGGCAGATATGTATAGATATGACTTTCTTGAGGAGTCATTATTTTATGTTTATTTATCAAACAAATCTGCGTAATAGCCTACATTTAGACAGATAGTTCTGTCTCTTTAGGTAAAAGACTAGCCTACATTCAAAGAGCTCAATGCAGACACTTTAGTCTTAATAAATAAATAAATACGACATATTTTAGGTGTTCACGGTTCAGCACCTAACGTTGTAACGTAGGCTACATTATAAAAAACGCCGATATCCTAGACTTTGAAGATGTCTGTTTGCTGTAGCCTATAGCCACTGTTGGGGGTAACGCATTACAAGTAACGCGAGTTCCGTAATCAGATTACTTTTTTCAAGTAACTAGTAAAGTAACGCATTACTTTTTTAAGAGAATATCTGAGTTACTTTTTCAAATAAGTAACGCAAGTTACTTTTTTTTCACAATTTATTGATTGACAGCTCTGGTGTCCCCGTGTTGAGAGAAATCAGATGTTACTATATTCTAGACTTTGAAGATGTCTGTTTGCTGTAGCCTATAGCCACTGTTGGGGGGTAACGCATTACAAGTAACGCGAGTTCCGTAATCAGATTACTTTTTTAAGTAACTAGTAAAGTAACGCATTACTTTTTAATTCAGAAGGAAATATCTGAGTTGCTTTTTCAAATAAGTAACGCCAGTTACTTTGTTTCCATGTGTTGAGTGACAGCTCTGGTGTTGCCATGGTGACAGAAATCAGGAGTCAAACATTTGTGTCTTTTTTTATTGCTGAAGTGTGTTGAAATGTCTTCTTCTGCATTCTACTGTACAGACGTAAATGTACTTTCCCTGCAGCCTGAGGCTTATTCACTTCACTTTTGGTGTGAAAAGGCTTTTATATTTGCCCAAAATACAACTTTTTATTTTAAAAACAGACAAGAAAGCCCTGTCCAGATTTAAAAAGTAGCGCAAAAGTAACGCAACACATTACTTTCCATAAAAAGTAACGTAACTAGTTACTTTTTTTATGGAGTAACGCAATGCATTACTTTTAAAAGTAACTTTCCCCAACACTGCCTATAGCCTACTCCTGATGACAATTTGATACATAATACGACTATGTAGCCTATAGAGTATGATGGATGTCATGCAACACTTGAAGTCACACAATACTGCCCTCCTTGGGCAAAATTGTCGAATGTGGATATGCACTTTCTGTGCTTTTCGAAAGATTCTGTATTTTTATTTTATTCAGTGGGTTCGATCCAGTTCAACCGTACTAATAAACACAAGTTACTCTAGACAAACATTTGTGTCTTTTTTTATTGCTGAAGTGTGTTGAAATGTCTTCTTCTGCATTCTACTGTACAGACGTAAATGTACTTTCCCTGCAGCCTGAGGCTTATTCACTTCACTTTTGGTGTGAAAAGGCTTTTATATTTGCCAAAAATACAACTTTTTATTTTTAAAACAGACAAGAAAGCCCTGTCCAGATTTAAAAAGTAGCGCAAAAGTAACGCAACGCATTACTTTCCATAAAAAGTAACTAAGTAACGTAACTAGTTACTTTTTTATGGAGTAACGCAATATTGCAATGCATTACTTTTAAAAGTAACTTTCCTCAACACTGAGTATAGCCTACTCCTGATGACAATTTGATACATAATACGACTATGTAGCCTATAGAGTATGATGGATGTCATGCAACACTTGAAGTCACACAATACTGCCCTCCTTGGGCAAAATTGTCGAATGTGGATATGAACTTTCTGTGCTTTTCGAAAGATTCTGTATTTTTATTTTATTCAGTGGGTATATGCTATCCATGTTAGCAAACAACTTTACCTTTCCAATAGGTTTGAAACACTGACATAAGCTACCGTAGTATTATCCGAAGGACTGTAACACCGTTAGTTCTTCAGTTGCGATCTAACAATACATATCTGTTTGGAAACGGCATTGCTTGTTAATTGTCTTCAATGCACTGCATTATAGGAGCTCCTGTAGGTTGTAACGGGAGAAAAACAAGCCTGTGTTTCTGAACTCTGAACGCCTCCGTCTTGAGGACACCACTCTTTCGTCATCACTGAAACTCAACCAACCCTGCTTGAACCTGACTTCACCGAAGTCCCGCCCTATTTTGAACACTAACGGGAGAATATTAATGTTACGACAACGATACACATTCTAATTGGCGTTTCAGTGTATAACCGGCTTAATCTTAAAAGTATGCCATTGATGTGTGATTGTTTCCAAATAGCGACATAACCTCTTTTAAATCCACGGGAAGTGAGGTCCCAGACTCGAAAGATCATTGGCTGAAAACAGCTGTCAGTTGACAGGAAATATCAAGGTAGTGTGCGCCTGCACCATTTCCACGTCAGTAAGTTTGCCTGTGGAGGAGATTAGCAACCGGTGACAGAATATCTGTCTAGTGCTATTGCAGGAAAGCAGCAGGGCATGACAACACTACGCGGAACTGTCTAAAATGTAAGCCTTTATTCAACGCAGTTATAGAAGCATTATTATATGTCTGAACGCGTTTGGTAGCCTGCTAAATAGTTAGCCCAAATGAGCAGAAATGAATCTGAACGCCATTTTGGATTCGCCGCCTTCGAGTCAGCAGCAGTGTTTTCATGTTTTTCTGTTTTGACAGACGCATACACGCAGAAGGAGGAACACGCTCTTATAAAACACAACGAGGGGGCCACGAGGTCACGTTTAACACGTTTATTTGCGCTGGTTAACAGCTGTAGTTAGTGTGACAAACCGCTTGCTAGCTTGTTGACAGCTTTGTTGTTTATTCATAAGTCTTTCGGTGTCTCCATTCATAGTCGCATCTCGAAGTAGAAGATATGTGTTCACATTGTGATTTGCAGGTCGCTTGGCATGTTGTATTTGGTCATTGACGAGCTTTGCCAGCAGGCTCGCTAAGCTCATTGGCCTACTGATCAATTCAGCTATAATCAATTCACACTCCTCTTCAACCTTTGTACATCATACGGCGAAGAGAGAAAGACTGTGGAAAGATTGTTTGTAATGAAAGGATGCTGTTGGAGATAACGGGGTGCCTGAGGCTGTCGTGAAGAAGGGACTGATCTGTAGCATCGCGATGCCGGTTGGCCATCATCACTGAATCATCCAGGCCCTCTCGTTGGCATATCTGCTTGCAATAGAGCAAACTATTTGTGCTTCATTAGATGGGTTGATGTTTATGCACAGATGTTTGACTGCAGGGTGTAATTCTCACCCAAACTCCTCTTCAATAGGTGTAGGTCTAGAGGAGGATGCTGTGTGTAGGCAGTGAACTGCACTTAACCCTGTAAAGCCTGACATATCAAATAATAGTCAGAATCAAATCAATTTTTTAAAATGGGGACAACTTGTTGATCCTTTAGTACAGTGATGGGCAAACGTGGCCCTTCCAGGCCACTTTCCTGCAGAGATTTGATCCAACCCTGATAAAACTCACCTGCCTGTAGCTTTCTAGTAGTCTTGAAGACAATGATTAGCTGGTTCAGGTGTGTTTGATTAGAGTTGGAGCTAAACTCTGAAGGATAGTTGCCTGGAAGGGCCAAGTTTGCCCACCCCTGCTTTAGTCAAAGATTCATAAACCTAAGATTAAATTCTGATTGCTTTTAAATAAGTGAGATCTTTTAAAAAGTATTGCTGACTACTTGCATAAAATGCATAAATGTCAGGTACGACTCTATATCTCACATTAACATTTCGTATTATGATATTAAGATGTGTAGTTTTATGATCAAAGCTGTGTAGGGAGGCAAAATGATCAAGTAGACCATAGTTGTTTCAGTCCATTGCTTCAGTGAGTATTCATCTTGAAATATTACTAACACTATAAAAGTTATTCTTATTTTTACTTTATAAAAATCAATAAAAAAAAACGAATGTTGGGGGATGTTTTTCGCAAGTGTGCTAAAAGGCCTGTTAAAGTATAAATTATTAGGCTAGACGACAGAAGACTGGTAGATTGTGTACAGCAGTTGTTCAGCAAAGATTTGGTTATGTTGATGATTTAGAGGCCTGAGAAATTTTTATTTCTAGAATATTATATGAGCTTGTGGACTTTAGGGTTAAAATAGAACCCTTTAAAACCTATTGTTTTATATTTTCCAAATGTACGAAATATTACTAACACTATAAAAGTTATTCTTATTTTTACTTTATAAAAATCAATAAAAAAAAAACGAATGTTGGGGGATGTTTTTCGCAAGTGTGCTAAAAGGCCTGTTAAAGTATAAATTATTAGGCTAGACGACAGAAGACTGGTAGATTGTGTACAGCAGTTGTTCAGCAAAGATTTGGTTATGTTGATGATTTAGAGGCCTGAGAAATTTTTATTTCTAGAATATTATATGAGCTTGTGGACTTTAGGGTTAAAATAGAACCCTTTAAAACCTATTGTTTTATATTTTCCAAATGTACATTAGTTATTTAAGGTGAATGCTTTCATTTGGTCGTTTCGTAGCTTAACAGCATACATCAGGATTTTGCCTTCTTGAATGCTGATGCAAAATTGCCATTGCCATAGTGCCATAGTAAAACTTTGAGAATCACAGGGAACGTATTGGTAGTTTATGACTTTTTGACATGCAGGTTTATTCCCATATATTTAACACTGTTTATTATATTATATCTAGATTTCATAATACCATGGATGTCATAATGCCATGGGTTAGATGGGTTTCAGTTTCACTCTTCCAGAACTTGAGCCAAATGTTTGTCTTTCTGCATAAATAAATAGATTTTTATGTGTGTTGGGATTACTTTCTGAAGTTGCTATATAAATACATTTTCTTGTCATAAAGCCTCATAGTTTTATGTATCGTCTATATTTCTAACATTTTTTGAGAGACATATCCTTGCATCAACACGTCCTTCAAAAACATTGTGATTTCTGTTATGCCTGTCTTGCCCCCACAAGGCACTATCTCGAATAATGAAATCTGAGCTGCTGCAACCTGTCTGCTGCATTGTCTGATGCTTTGCACAGAGATTACCTCCAGCTTTAAGCTCTGCTCTATAACCTGTGGTCTAGTTGAGCTGTCTGACTAGGATGATCATATAATGTGCATATGTCCCTCTTGCCTTCAGAAAAACTATATATGCTTGATGTTGAGTTGGTACTTGTGTGTAATCGCATATTTCTAATTAAATCTTAGATTCACTATGGTGGACAAGAGTATATACATCGTTCAAGGGGAGATTTCTGTTGTCGTTGCTGCTATCAAGAGGAACTCTAGATGGAGTACCCATACTCCTTTGGTAAGTTGTCCAATTTAGTTTTAATATAAAGAACATAGTAGTTGTCTGAATTGTAGGGCCTGATGTCACCCGCTTGATATTTAAAATGATATTCAATGGCCACTTTATGACCCTATATTTCTCATAATTCTTTAATATTTAAGCTAGGGATGCGCTGAAATTGATAAGCCAATAATAATTTTCATGTTATGGCTGATATTAAAATTGTATACCATTTTGTCTAAAGAAAGTAAAAATAAAACATTAAAAACCAGTCGTTTTAATGCTACAAGTGAATTTAGGCATCACAACATTGAAATGTGCAGTATACAAAATGTATTTAAAAAAGATTTGCTTTAAGTGATTGTTAGATGATGGCAAATGTAATCTAAACGTGATAACAGGAGAAATTAGCATGCATAATTAAATATCCAAAATCAACCTTTATAGAATATCAAATCCCTGATTAATAGAAAATCTGTAATATTGGCCAATACTTTATATGGTAATCATACATAATGCATCCCATATTTAAATAACATGAAACTATCAAATTATATTGTTAGAGAAATCATAACATGCCAAATTGTCACTAACTAGTTTTTTGTCACAGGATGAAGAACAGGACCCACTACTCAACAGCTTCAGCCACTTGAAAGAGACCCTCAATAACATAAAAGGTTAGACATGATCAAATTCAGGATTACAGTAGATAAGTTATTAACTAAGTTATTGAACAAGGTGTTTGGACAGTTTTCTGTCATTTTGTAGTCCATTTATCTAGCTTCTTAATTGCGTAATAGCAACTGTTATACTTACTATGTTGATAGAAGTTTAAAAAAAAGCACAAACAAAAGGATAAGCTGCATTCTGCCAATGCACCATTTCTTCTTTTCCTTTATTTGAGACTAGAATGAAGCACGTCAGGCAGGATCAAACTAAACGGACTCATTCAGCATTTGCAAAAGTGCTTCTTTCCTGCTACAGAACGAAAGCATATTTAACCAGGTGTACGCTAGATTTCCTCTGAGGAAAGGGATGGCCTTTTCAAATCAGTCAATATTATCTTTCTCAATGTCTTACTATTGGGCTCTTATGGCACCTCATAATTTTTGGGGTCCCATTGAAACTATGCCAGTGTTTGTTCATCTAGTTATACAAATGCCTCTTAATGAATAGGACAGCTAAGGTAAATGTTATGCTGTGTTTTTATGTAATTGTTCCTCTGTGCAAAAAGAAATGAAAATTCTTTCTTACTGTGGAGCTCTTTAACTTCAAGTGGTATTGTAATCATTTTATAACTGATCTTGAATGAAAATCCCTACTGTTTGATTTCTTTTACTGTTAAAATAATAATTTCATTATGTCGTGACAGCTGATTGAAGGCGGCTTTTGAAGGCATAGTGAATCCCCAAATAAGTTCTCTAAGAGAATCTATCTTAAGAGAACTTTTCCACAATTCAAGTTATTTTTTACTATAAATTGCTCACTTATGACCACAACAGTGACACCTATGGTTTGTTTACAGAATTACAGTAGAAGGCTTATGAGTTCAAGTAACTTAGAGGCATGTCAACCCGAGAGATAGATTGTTCTGGGAAAGGAAGTGTTGTCTCTCGTTCCACAAAAAAAGTGTTCTCTTCTTGAATAAGGCCATTTTTGTATTTATGAAACAGAGTTTCCTGAATTTAGTATATCAGAAACGTGTTCATGCTACCTCACCTACACGTGCAGTACACCTGGTTCAAGCAGTTAGTGTGGTTTTTGTAAAATGTGCTAAACACGACTAAAAAGTTTTTTTTCTCCACAGATTTGCATATAGTTTTTTCCCCCACAAAAATTGGATTTGCATGTTGGCAAAATTCTTTACTTATTGGTTGAAGTAGCAGATTAAATGGAAATTGGCTTTCTATTTCAACAGGAACATAGGTTGCATTTTGTTAAAGATGCCACAAGTACATTACTTTTTTTTTAGGACGTACTGAAGTCATCGCTGAGTTTTCGATTTGTCTCTTGTCTTGGAATCTCAAGCATGTAGGTGGTGACAGCAATGATCTATTTCATCTGGTGTTATTTGCACAAGACTCATGGAGTGAGCTGCGCTTAGTTGCTGATAAGCAGGCCATGGCTGATTCTGCAGACTTTTCTTTTTAGGGCATTTTCTGCCCTAATTTTGGGGAAAGTTAAATAGAATGATTTTGGATGTTGTAAAATGTGTTAAAGGGACATGTTGCTTAAGAAGTAATTTAAATTGTGTCTCTTGTTGTTCTAATCCTGTTTGACTGACTTTATTCTGTGAAAAATAAGATTTTTACAGTGTCTCAGCCAGGGTATGTCTATACAATGAAAGTCGGTGGGGTCCAATGTGTAAAGAAACTCGTACAGAAAGTATTTTGCGCTTAAAGATAGCTGAAAGCTTTTACAGATAAATCCAAATATGTTTATATGTTATCTAAGTTTTAATAGAAAATGGATAAAATTACGGTAGCCTTTTTTTGGGCAATATATAGAATAAACGTAAACGACAATAACCCTCTGTAGGCAGCAGAAGCCTCTCGGATGTTCTTGTTAATCCTGAACCCCTCTGGAATTACAAACAAGCATCTTGGGGTGACAAACGAATGTCAGTGTTTTTCCGTCATCAGCTTTTAGACTCTCCCTTTTTGAAATCCAAAAACACACTGGTGTTGGAGAAATGAGCTTTAGATCTTGCATCTAGCTTGATGGACAACTGCTCGATGGATCTATTGGTTTTGTAAGGGAGATATTCTAGCTCTGATACATGGTCTGTTTAACATTAAATTGAGAACTGGGATTTAGTCTGGGGTCAAGTAATTCTCTGGGATATTTTTGATATTGGCTGAACATTGAATATCGTACTGTTGAGGCAATGGGGGGAGGGGGGTGGAGGAGACATCGCATTGAATGAAGATGTCTCACCTGCTCATAGTATTCACTTTTTATACTCTAGTCAGCCTGAGCCTTAGTCCTTTAAAGCTTTGAATCTTCTCCAGCCCTCCCCATCCCTTCACGTCAAAGGTCAGGTTTTTTGACAAGTCTGCAGAGGAAGCCGACAGACTAAATCCTCTCATTTTTATTCATTCAAATACAGGTTTAAAGATGCCACCCTGTAGATCCAATACCAGAGCTTTGTTTGATTGACAACTCTCTCACTTACCCTGTACTCCTAGCCTTTCCTCTCGTTTGGTTTTCAGGTACTAAAGAAATTCCTCTTCTAATAGGTCAGACCACACCATCCGATGATTGGATAGCGACTGAGTTTTGTAGTAAACATCAGAGTGATACTTTGATCGCTGGTTCTTTTCATCTCTTCATCTCCTGAAGAAAGGGCTGTGGAGGAATTCTTTGACTGTGTCTTCTTGATTAAGAAATTTGCCATGCCTTTGACAGGTCTTGAGTACAGTATTCGCAAATTCTTGTCTCCATACGTATGTAGATTTGAAACTATACTTGACATCTCAACCTGCACGTATGTTAAATCTTTTCTGCTTGAATGGTTTAGAGCGTTTCCCCAAAGTTGCTAAGCTATTTGGAGCAATTAAAATGCATTGGATTAGTAGTAGGAAATTATGGTTTGCTTAAAGAAGAATTTTTGGACCCTTATTATGATAATGAGAATGGGGATTTATTGCCATGACTATAACAATGTAAAAAAATCTTAATGGTTCTAAAATGGGCTTTATATTCTAAACGTTTTGTATTTTATATATATATATTCCCTTTTTTTTTTTAGATACCATTAAACAAATATTTAAAATTGAATGCCTTTGTTTCTACATTAATTTAAAGATTGAATGTGAAATTATTGCAGTATTAAAGTATATTTAAAATTGGGAGTGGGTGTTAATTGTTTTTCATACCAACTTACATTTTGAAAATTTAAATGTACACTCATGAATCCAAAAATTTACATCAGAACAGCTTTGCGTATGATTTACAAAAAAAAATAATATTCTAATGTTTCATGAAAGTGGCCCAGTGTGCGATGGGGAGCAATGTAATGTAAAAATTTAGTTTGGTGACAACAGCTGATTGATATCGAAAATACTTAATTCACTTATGTTAGCTAGAGTCCCAAAACAAAAACTACAGCGATTATTCTTCGAATGTAATGTTATTGTATTTTTTTTTCCCAAATTAGTTTGTTGCGTGCTCCTAAATGTAGATTGCATAGCAAAGGCTTTAGTGTAGCTGCAGCACTTGGGCTTGAATAATGAAATGCGTTACTTGAAGTCGCGCAGATGCTTTTTCGAAGGTGTGTTGAAGTGTTACTTTAGCTCTGTAAATCCACAGTACATGCTTCATATGTAAGTCATCCGTCCCTGTGGTAAGTTTAACACCCACAGCATTGTACTGGTGTCACTCAGGGTGGCAGTGTGCTCATCATGGCCTCTGTCCCGCTGTAATAAAACGCTCCATAAGTCGCGATGATGGATGCTTGTCTCTTCTTTGCCAAGCAGCAACCCAGTGCTGGTTAGTAGCTGTAAATCTGGCCAGTTAACAGTGCTCTAACCGGGGACTGACAGTCGGAGCTTAGGCCCAGTTTTAGGTGGGGATGCAACTGTTGTCCTGTTTCAGATCCTCTCAACAATGTGCTGAGTGCACGGAGGGGCCCAGCGCACAACTATTAATCATACTCTGTGCTATGAAAGGCTCACGGGGCGGGGGTACATGTGTATCTCCAAGGTGGAGGTGGCATTGGTGGGGTGTTATATTGACAGGAACAGAGGGCAAGATGGAGCACGACAAGCCGACCGACTCCATGCAGCTTGTCCACACCCCCCGATCTAAACGTCTGACCTCGCCACCTCAGTGCTTTAGAGAAGAAATGTTAAAAGGTGTGTGATCTGCAAGGTTAAAACAATTATAGGGGCCAGAGAAGTTTATAAAAGGAAATTATATACTGCTCTTGAGAAAGAGCATAATTATATACTGCTTGGCAATTTATATACTGCTCTTGAGAAAGCTTCCATGTAGTGTGTTACAGGTTAAAATCAAGTATTGTAAGGTTTTGTTGTCATATAAAATAGGGATGCACCGTATGTTGGTACCTAATGGTAATTAGCCAGTATTAGAGATTGATTGATTGATTTTGCAATTTACCACAGTCAGTGTTATCTAATGCTCAATTAATTTTGAAAGCACTAATAATTTAATAACACTGTTAAATGTAATTTTCAGCAAATATCAGTATCTCATGAATATCCTTTTTTTCACACTGTGCTTTCATACTTGGTTCTCACTAATAAATATTAAAAAAATAATTATCAGCCTATTTCAGCTCAATTTAATGTCAGCCTATTCATATTTTAAAAGATGTAAATATAATATCTCCCTATATTATAAGGATGCATTAAATTGATCAAAATTCACAGGATCTTACATTACAGCTACAAAAGATTTCTATTTCAGATGTTGTTCTTTTAAACTTTCCATTCATACTGAAAAAATGCATCATTCCCAGCAAAAAATTGAGCACCACAACTGTTCAACATTTCTTGAGCACATTTGAATGTTTTTTTAAGGATCATATGACATGCTGATCTTAATGACTGCTGAAAATTCAGCTTTGCCATCACACACATACTTTTTTTTTTTTTTTTTTAATTTCACAATGTCACTTTTTAAAATGTTACCAACCCAAACTTTTGAATGGTAC